AGCGGAAGTGACGTTTTAGGAAGGGGCTGTCGCGCTGTGGTGACGTTCGCAGGCGGTGCAGAGCTCCGGTGTATGTGGCGGAGAGGTGACTGGCTGTTATAGACGGAGTAGGGGGAGGTTGGTTGGTGTTCCGTGAGTGTGTGACCCGAGTAGGGTGTTGTGTGTACCGGGGGGTAGGCCCGGCGGGACCTCTATTACTGTGTACATAGAGGGGGGTGGGGGAGATAACACGGCCATTGGGGCCTTCTCAGTCACGGACCTGGAACAAGTATGCAGCCAGTGAAGTCAGGCCGGTGACTCACTTTAATCATCACAACGCGCAGGCCTCTATCCTCTTCAATAGGACAGGTTAGCCATGGCAGGCCTCCTGTACAGGAAGGGAGCTCTGGAAAGGCTGGTTGCCATGGTGACACAGGGGCCTGGCTGTCATGGTGATCCTCTGGGGGGTCTGCGCAGCCAGGACCTGAATAATGCATTGAAGCCAGAGGATGACAACCTATGGCGGGTTCTTTATGGCTCCGTGTTCCTAGATTTCAGGAATGGGCACCCATCTCTCACTGCATGCCATGCTGGACTTACCTACAGTGACCCCGATGGCATCCTCTGTATGGCAGTCTGTGAAGTAGATTGTAGGCAGGCAAGCTATGGCAGAACTATTGGATCACATCAGTGTCCAGAGGGGGCGCTCCACTACCAATCCCATGTTTTTGGCAGGGATGGCTGGCTGTATAGTACCCTTGCTGGTAGTGGTGCACCAAAATGGAAATTCTGGTGCCAAAACTGAAAAATTCAGGATGCACTTGGCCGAAAACTGAAATTTTAAGTTTTTAAAAGTTATATTTTTGCAAACACAATTTTTTTTTTTGGAAAAAGAACTTTAATGATTAAAAAAAACACAATATATACCCCATTTTTTTTTTAAATATGAAAGAGGATGTTACGGCGAGTAAATAGATACCCAACATGTCATGCTTTAAAATTGTGCACGCTTGCAGAATGGCGCCAAGCTACAGTACTTAAAAAATCTCCATGGGTGACGCTTTAAAAATGTCTACAGGTTACCAGTGTAAAGTTAGAGGAGCTCTAGTGTGAGAATTATTGCTCTTACTCCGACAGGCGTGGCGATACCTCATATGTGTGGTTTGAACACCGTTTACATATGTGGGCATGGCCTATGTATGCGTTCACCGCTACGCGTGAGCATGGGGGGGGGGCAGGGCACGTTAAACTTTTTTAAAAAAAAAAATTATTTTTTTTTTTTTTTACATTGTCCCTTAAAAAAAAAAAATTTAAATCACTTTTATTGCTATCACAAGGAATGCAAACATCCCTTGTGCTAGAAATAATTAGTGACCGGTCCTCTTTATGGAGAGATAAGGGGTCAATAAGACCCCACATCTCTCCTCTGCAATGTAAGGCATTGGATCAAAAAAAAAAAACCCCATTGATCTAGTGCTTTACAAGAAGAAAAGGGCCTTGTTTAAAAGGCGCCAGAACCGGAAGTGACGTCATGACGTCGCTACCAGTCTTCCAAGGGCATAGAGATAAGTGGAGGCCATCTTTCCTTCGCTGATCTCTATGCCCAGTGCCGGGATCATTGAATGGGTTCTCGGGTAAGGCTGAGAACCACTGGGCGATGGGAGGGGGGTATTTTCGGTACTTATTTTCATATCAGCCAAAGGCCAATAGGGGTGCTTTCAGCCAAAAAGTTTCAGCCACTGGACTTTTGGTGCATCCCTATGGCATAGAGATGAGTGGAGGCCTTCTTTCCTTCACTCATCTCTATGCCCTGCGCCGGGATCATTGCATGGGTTCTCGGGTAAGGCTGAGAACCACTGGGCGCTGGGAGGGGGGGTTATTTCCGGCACCTGTATCGGTACTTATTTTCATATCAGTCAAAAGGACAATAGGGGTGCTTTTAGCCAAAACATTTCGGCCACTGAAATTTTGGTGCATCCCTATGGCATAGAGATGAGTGGAGGCCCTATGGCATATAGAGAGAGTGGAGGCCCTATGGCATAGAGATGAGTGGAGGCCCTATGGCATAGAGATGAGTGGAGGCCCTATGGCATAGAGATGAGTGGAGGCCCTATGGCATAGAGATGAGTGGAGGCCCTATGGCATAGAGATGAGTGGAGGCCATCTTTCCTTCACTGATCTCTATGCCCAGCGCCGGGATCATTGAATGGATTCTCGGGTAAGGCTGAGAACCACTGGGTGACTGGGGGGGGTGGGGTTATTTTCGGCACCTGTATCAGTACTTATTTTCATATCAGCCAAAGGCCAATAGGGGTGCTTTCAGCCAAAACGTTTCGGCCACTGAAATTTCGGTGGATCACTACGTGCTGGGATGATGGGGGTCCTGAGGGATCTTCCTGTTGGGATAGAAAGTGGAGCATCCCTGGGAATTGGAGGCTGGGAGTAATTCCCTGGTGGAGGATTGCGAGCCGCCTTGTGCCTCCTGATTTGAGCTGCAGTGTCTGGTCAGGGGCTGAGAAGGCAGAGGGCCCGCAGGGTTATTTCACCAAACTTTTTCTTGGGTTTTTACATATAATACAAGAAAGGCAATCACATAAAGAAAAGGATACAACAGAGGTAAAGGTGGAGAGGCAAATGAAACCAATGTAAGAAGGATCACTGATTAGTGTGAAGGTGACATCACTGCAAGGGACATCACAAGGAAACTGGACATATCCAACTAAAATGCAGACTGGGTGAGGCTCCTTCGGTGACACCACCATGTGAGGGGCTATGCCCCGATGGGAGCAGTAGAAGGAATAAGGCACTCAAGACAGGGGTGGAAGGTAGAAGAGTGAAGGAAAGCATGCATAAAAGCCACTCAAGATCCACGTGGGGCAGCAGAGAAGGGGGTGGGGGGGAACTTGCCGGGGTGGAGAATCATATGCTGGCCAGCTGGTTACAAAGGATGTCCATCTAAAGGGTCAAATGGAGAGTAAAGGATGGTCTAAATACAATTAGTCATTGGGATCCCAATTCTTCAGAAATGTGGCGTGGGTGTCAGGAAGTATGGGTTGAGCTTCTCATGGATTGTGTGTTTTCCTTCACTCAGGATGAAGGGTGTGGTTATTTGAGCTGACCCTCCAGTCTAGGGGGAGGATTTGTGGCCATCAGGTTTCTTCCTCCCCTCTCTTGAGGAGGTGGGGGGGTTCTCTTCAGTTGAACCCCTCATCTAGTACTAATTGGTCATCTTCAGCTGATTACTGAAGGTAAGGAGTCTGCTGGGTCTTTTGGCTAGGTGGATCTGAGTGTGCCTGACCCTCATTGCTCCCTCAGGGGGGTGTCAAGGAAGGGCCTTTCCTCTTTGGGAAGGGACTACCTGACACACTTTTTTTTTTTTCGTGTGTGTGTTCACATGCACTTTTTTGATTCATTTATGGGTGTTTAGTTTTTGTGCACCACAGGCCTAGAAGAAAGAAGAGTCTCATGAGGAATTGCAAGACTCTGAAAACCTAGAGGCAGATGGATGATGGAACTTGTAGTTCAGCAACAGCTGAAGTTTGCTTACCCATGAAGGAGATCTTCATCAGGGATGAGGCCAGGCCTAAGTTATCCTGCCAAGAAACTGTCCCTGCAGACAGCCAAATATAAGTGGCATCATTGCAGAGTGCACAGTTAGCTGGTGGTTCCACCTACACCCTGTCCTCCTTCCCAGTTATGGCGTCTCTGCACCTTGCGAGAACCAGAAGTGGCCCGGCAGAAACCCTAACCCTTTTTCCTGTGCTCCACTGACCAGAGTTCCATGACCAATTATAGGGGTTACCTCCACCTATCCGCAGGGATAGTTTAGGCAGGTTCAGAGCTCATCCCTAACCTTCACCATCAGATTTACATGAAAACAGGACCTGCCAGGGGAGCAATAGAACAACTGAAGCTGCAGGGTCCAGGGCTCTGGTTTTTAGTACATTCAGTACCCATGACAATAAATGATTGGTCAGAGGTAGATATATTGGCATGACCTTTAGATCCACAATGATGAATCGGTGCAGCAAAGAAATATGTGATTGGTCAGATTTGATTGTGTTTTTAGTTATTTAATGTTAAGTAAAAGAATAAAACAATTTATTAAAGATACATGAAATGATGGAATCGGCGAATGTGTGGCCAGCCTATTGACCATGTATTCTGAGCCTTGCAGGAAATCTATGTTCAATGAGTGTGATTTTACTTTCATTGGAGCAGCTGTGCATACTAACCAATCACCTTCCAGCTTCAGCTTGTTCAGCAAAGTGGAACCAAAGTCTGCAGTACTTACCTCTGCTTCAACAGTCCAAGGTTGAACGCTGGCACCTTCTCTATGACTTCTTCTGGGGTGACAACTGGCCCTAGACCAGTCACAACAACCCCCCCAACATATACTGGGCCTTATTCTGTTCTCCTTGTGGAGAGGGATTAGGACCCCTGTCAGGTTTTTATTGCTGTCTGTGGGGACAAATTCACCCTCTCTATTTGTCCTGTTTACCATGATCATCAAAAGTGAAAGAGAAATCCCCAAATTTTGTGTTGTTCCCAAAACAAAAATAGAGGAGACACTGGTCCTGGGGGAATCCCTTACTTTTGGGGAGAATTCCTGTCACTTCCTGTTTTGTCTTTGGAACAGGAAGTGAGGGGAAATAACCCCAATGGGACACAGATGGCAGAAAAAAGAGAAAAATGTAGAGAACGTTGTAACCATTTCTTACTCTATACAAAATGAAAAATCTAATTTTGCCTTTAGATCCACTTTAAGCTGCACTAGGGGTTGAAAAGTGTCGGTGGAAGGAGTGGGTTGAGTGTCAGTGTTCATTTTGAAACTTGTACAATAAAGTTGTTTTAGCTATGTATATGTATATGCTATTGAATAAGGATGGATTATGAGGCTTGTAGTCACACAAGGCATTCTGGGTAATATAGTTCCATGACACTTGGGAAGGCACAGTTCAGGACAGATAAAGGAATATTTTTGCTCAAAACATAATTAGAAATTGTTCTCTCTATGCAGGATGGCTATGAACTGGAACAAAGGGGGTCCGAGCGGGAAGCGTGGCTTTGGATTTGGAGGCTTCGCTATCTCTTCGGGGAAGAAGGAGGAGCCAAAACTGCCACAGTCTTCTCACAGCGCTTTCCGTGGTCCACCTACTGGCTTCGGACCTGGCAACAGTTCCCAGCTGCCCTCCTTTTACAAGATTGGATCCAAGAGGGCCAACTTTGATGAAGAGAATGCGTAAGGGACAAAACGTGTGAAAATTATAATGCAGCTGCAGTTTTGTTTTTTTTTTGCCCATTTGGTGTACTGTCTGTATCCCTGGCATTGAAATGTACAGAACTTCCTGTCCCCAAAGATACAACAGAGAGTGGAAATCTCCCAAACATTTGTGGAAGACCCGCCAGAACAGGGTTTCCCCTTTACTCAAATTACAGGGACAATTATAAAATGTTGGATATCTGTTACTCTCTGCCTTGGGGACGTGTCCATGAGAGGAGATCTTACTGATATTGACGAACATTAATAAAATGTCAGAAAATTGAACCCCTCACTCCCATAGTTTTGCCTGTAGTTCTACTTTAAGGGATATATCTAGCAAAGTCTTTAAAAAAAGGAACTGCTCCTACAGCCCATAGCAGCCAGTCGGTGTTCCTTCAATTCTACAGCATGTAAGAGTCCTGGTAGCTCTTTATCTGAAGAACAATTCTTTCTTTAGGTGCTTTAGAGGACCAGTCAGATATAGTTGATTACAGGAGTACACAGTAAGTGTCCTGTATACTCAAAGCTGAAGCCTATGAATTGCCTAGTTTCTGACCCACACAGAGTCTGCAGATCAGGGGTCCAACCTCACTTGGTAGTGCATGTTTGACTTGGAATTTATTGAGGTCATAGACAGCCAGTGCTGTGGTCCCATGATAGACATGTCACTGAATGAGTTAATAAAACATAATCTCAAGTTGAGCCGTCTGTGACGTCTCTTCCCGTAGATACTTTGACGATGAAGAGGAAGATTCCTCCAATATGGACCTGCCATACATTCCAGCAGAGAACTCCCCAACCAGACAGCAGATGTTATCAAAGAAGGAAGAATCTGACAGTGAGGAGGACCCGCTCGAGGCCTTTATGGCAGAAGTGGAGGTGAGCTGTTTTTCCATGGGCTTTGCATATTGGGCCCTGTTTACACTTGTACCATTTCCAGTGGTACACCTCTGTAGCATACATGGATTTCACTTCACTCGCCTTTGTCATCAATTCATATAGCTGTCTTTCTGCACTCCAGTGCAGGGGTGTCGAAAAAGAATGCTGCATTTCTTAGGCCAATGCAGTGGAAAAAGATTTGTCTTGATGTTTTTAAACGCCTATGCAGGGCTTTACTGGGGATGCCTTTGGTTTGACCACCAACTCTGTGCTGGCTTCTATAAAAAGCAGGGAACAGGTTATAAGACCTTGGGGGAAGTGTACTTACAGATACTGCCAACAGAATCTGGCTAAAGAGCAATTTTGGGTAGTTTTTAGTAAATTACGACTCACTTCGGTTTTGAAATAGGTCATTTCTGATAACATTCAAGCCAAAACTCCCCCCCTTTCACTTCTCGTCCTACTGACGTGGTGTCCTGCAGTCACATCACAAAGATGAAGGGTCACTGTCTGCTGGGTTTTGCTGATGTCAAATTAAGATGGCTGTATCCAGGTTTCTGCTCCAGTAAAGAATGTAGCTGGTGCCCCCACGCATTTCCTGTCTTTTTTTGTTTAGAAAAAATGCAAGCAAACAAGCAACATGTAATCTTCAGTTTACCCTGACCCCTGGTTCACATATATGCAGCCGTGCGGACCGCGTTTTGCACGGACATGAGAGCCCATTCATTTGAATGGTCTCCCGTGCCCGTGACACGCAGGGAAGAAGTCCCTGCACTTTGGAAAATGCAGCCTGGGTTCCCAGTACGGTTGCGTTTTCTAGTGTGGGCGGTGTGCCATTAGAATTAATGGCACCCGCCCGCAGGTCCGCATTCCTCTGTGTGGGTGGCACGGTTGCACAGATTTTCGTGCGGATCCGCAGCGGCACCACCCGCACAGATTTGAGCCTAGCCTTAGACACGTAAGATTTAACTGCATAGTAATAATGTTAAGCTGAGGAGGTTTGTACCAGACACCAAAAGTAAAATGGGTCAGATTGGTTCACTGCATGTTACTAGCCTGCACAGGAGACCTGTAATGTGATTTATATTGTGGCTTTTATCAGAATGAGTGTTTTTTCTTTACTTTATAGGATCAGGCTGCCAGAGACTTGAGGAAGCTGGAGGATCGAGACAAGGAAAAGAAAAACGCCAGGTATGGAGGAGTGGTGGTGTAACCTCCAATCCTGAATACACAAAACAGGCCAGACCATCATTGAATGTTATAGGTGTGTCACTCAGATGCTACATGACTGGTGTGGTAGCCCTGATGCTGTTTTATTTCACCAACCTGTAATTGTTATTTTAGGGTTGGTTGGGCCTTGCAGTGATTCATTTGCTAGGGGCTTCTCATATAAGAGGTTCCTTTTAGCAAAATTTAGTTTGGATCTCACTACTACAATGCCTTAGATATATAAGAAGCAAGCCTGTGACTGAGCTTGTTGGCAAGCATGCAAAACTAAAATATAAGTAGATTTAGCCATCTAGTGAGATTGTGTGGAACATATGTAAAAATCCATAGCTGCCGTTCACATATTTCCTAGTATCTGTCTGGTTTAGTCTAAATTGTAAAGTCCATCTTAAACTGATTATTTCAGCTTTAGTCGAATGTTGTGGACCCGACTGCATACAGTCTACTTTTTTGGAGGTTTTAATTCTGTCATAGATTTCCTGTCTAACAAACAAGAGATACCTGTGCTCAAATCCCAATAGCTAGTACATGCATTTATCCATCAGGTGCTAAAGGGGTGTAACCACATATTAACACTAGACATTCTGAAGGGCCCTCTGCACACAGTGTGCAGAGGGCCCTTCAGAATTTCTAGATGTCCTGTCTAATTCTCACTGTCTTGCTTCTGTTTGAAATGTGGACTACAGGAAAGGGCAATCGGTGGAGTTTGTGAGTGAGCTCTTTTTTTTTTTTTCTTTTTTTTTTTTTTTTTTTTTTTAAATCTTTATTGCGCATAACAACAAAAACAGTCAGCAATCCAGCAGTGTAAAGTGGCATTCATTTTAAAAAAGTAAATCTGTGCCAGCTTCTAGACGTCCACACAACCCTAGTGCAATATGAACTAGAAAAAGCCGACCAGTGGACTTTATTATTAAAGAAAACTCCACAAAGCATTGTTGGCTTCTAGATATCCACACAACCCTAGTGCAATATGAACCAGAAAAGCCGACTAGTGGAATTTATTCTTATAGAAAACTCCACAAAGAATTGTTGGTTCTAGACATCCACACAACCCTAGTGCAATATGAACCAGAAAAGCCGACTAGTGGACTTTATTCTTAAAGAGAACTCCACAAAGGATTGTTGGCTTCTAAATGACCACACAACTCCAGTGTAATGTCAGCTAACAGAAAAGGCCAACCGGGGAACTTTATTCTGTATTCCACCAAGGACTATTGGCTTCTGAACCGCCACACAGCTTCAGTGTTATCTGAGAAGTATAGCAGACCTTGAAAATGAAAACTGTTACTGCTTTTGGAGATCACCATGACCTTAACGGTTGGAGCACAGAAGTTAAAAAAAAAAAAAAAAAACAATTATGGCAGCAGTACCTCAGCAGGGCATAGCTGAGCAAGTCCGAATTAGGAATGAAAAAAAAAAAATCATTGTTCACTTGAACCATTCAGTGATGAAGAGATAAGGATGTGGCTGGGTCCACACAGAGCATGGTGGTCTGTGACTCCTAGTGATGTTGTGGAAGGGCAAACACAGATAACAAACTGGTCAGGGTATCTAGTGATGAAGCCTTCCTAGCTTCGGGAAGTCAAGACCTGAATAGCACTGTCATTTGATAGATTTCTGCAACTGATGGGGTAGTTGGATGGAGCTGGGAACTCCGTCGCAGAGACAGGTTCCCTTTAACACAGTTGTAAGAAGTTGATGGATGGACTTATCAGCTGCTACCCAAACCAGAAATATCAGTTTAGGTGAAACTGGCCTACCAGCGATTATACTCTGGTACTCTGAGGGAAAGCACACATGCTATACACTACTTTTATTCGGAATCAATTTTTGTGTTTTCCTGTCGCTGCAAAGTCATGGCTTTATATTCAGCTCAGGCTACCACCTCCAAGCATGTATGTGCATAATTGTTTTCTGTGCTTGGCACATGTACTATGAATGCAGGCAGCAATACACTTTGTGAGCTGCAAGTGCAAGCATGCATGCCATTCTGGAACTTGTAGTTCTGCAGACAGCCCGTGTCCTGCTGCATGTATGGTTCTGACTATTGGGGATTCACCCGCAGTGCACACACTTTTGCCATAAACTTCTATACTACTATACAGACACTGCACTGAACACATAGCTGTTACAAGACTGGGTATGTGGACTGAGTGCAGGGAAGTTTGTTTTTTTCCTCTTGTTTCTTGCAGGGGTATCAGGGACGACATTGAGGAAGAAGATGACCAGGTAAGTTTGTAGTTTTTGTTTCATCCAAAGTAGATATATGGCCTTTGATTGCAGCAGAGAGAGATGCACAGCTTGTCTGTGTTTAGCAATATATGTGTGACATCTTAGATCAACATATATATCTGATCAGCTTGATGGAAACAAGAGGGTGCTATTTTTCCATGCTATAGTTCTGTTAATATTTTTTTCTTTGTATTCATACAAGGCAGCAGCCATATTAGAAGTACCTGAAATAAATATTTGGTCACTGTATATACATGCTGCACTTCCTGGTTAGTAGTGCAGCACAACAGTTGTACAGTACCTTACTACTCTCAGTGCATGTCTGATGATCAGGTAGCAACTCTATAGATTAATTGAAAACAAGCCGGTCACACTTAGAGCCACCGGGTACTTCATATAGCCAATATCCACTAAAACAACTTCTTATTGTCACTATTAGATGTGCATATTGGCTCAGATGATCTTAATAGCAAACTTGCTGCATGGGCTGTCTGATATTCAGAAAAACTTCTCAGAGGGAAAATGAACATGTTTGTGTCCATAAATACCACCTTGAAAATCTGGCAACACAACCATGCTAAAACATGACAGTGGAACCTGATATTGCTTTGAGGTAGTCTCTGAAATAGACAGTTTGCTTTTAAGCACCTGATTCTGCCTTTTTATGTTACCGTATGTGAAAGGCATAGTTAGGTCTGGGTCATTGGTCTCCAAACTTTCTAAACAAAGGGCCAGTTTACTTTCCTTCCGACTTTAGGGGGTCGGACATTGGTATCAGTGGGGAGGAATGATGCCCCATTGTTTGTGGCAGTGGGAGAAATGGTGCCCCATTGTTTGTGGCAGTGGGAGAAATGGTGCCCCGTCGTTAGGGTCAGTGGGAGGAATGGTGCCCCGTCGTTGGGGTCAGTGGGAGGAATGGTGCCCCGTCGTTGGGGTCAGTGGGAGGAATGGTGCCCCGTCGTTGGGGTCAGTGGGAGGAATGGTGCCCCGTCGTTGGGGTCAGTGGGAGGAATGGTGCCCCGTCGTTGGGGTCAGTGGGAGGAATGGTGCCCCGTCGTTGGGGTCAGTGGGAGGAATGGTGCCCCGTCGTTGGGGTCAGTGGGAGGAATGGTGCCCCGTCGTTGGGGTCAGTGGGAGGAATGGTGCCCCGTCGTTGGGGTCAGTGGGAGGAATGGTGCCCCGTCGTTGGGGTCAGTGGGAGGAATGGTGCCCCGTCGTTGGGGTCAGTGGGAGGAATGGTGCCCCGTCGTTGGGGTCAGTGGGAGGAATGGTGCCCCGTCGTTGGGGTCAGTGGGAGGAATGGTGCCCGTCGTTGGGGTCAGTGGGAGGAATGGTGGCCCGTCGTTGGGGTCAGTGGGAGGAATGGTGGCCCGTCGTTGGGGTCAGTGGGAGGAATGGTGGCCCGTCGTTGGGGTCAGTGGGAGGAATGGTGGCCCGTCGTTGGGGTCAGTGGGAGGAATGGTGGCCCGTCGTTGGGGTCAGTGGGAGGAATGGTGGCCCGTCGTTGGGGTCAGTGGGAGGAATGGTGGCCCGTCGTTGGGGTCAGTGGGAGGAATGGTGGCCCGTCGTTGGGGTCAGTGGGAGGAATGGGCCCGTCGTTGGGCGTCAGAGGAATAGTGCCCTATTGTTGTCAGTGGGAGGAATAATGTGTCTTATCAGTAAGAGGATCAGTGCCCCAAGGGCCACATAAAGGCAATCATTCGGCCCCCGGGCCGCAGTTTGGAGACCACTGGTCTAGGTGAACGATGAAAGAAGATTTGATAATTTTAGAAGGAAGTGCTGCCTGTTAAATCCTAAATAAACCACTATAATCATACACACATGAATCAAACTCTGTTATGCATACAATATAAATAAATTAAAGCGCTTGTTGAAACGTGTCTATTCTTAGTGTGCTCCCCCTCCAAGAAAAATCAATATAATGTGCCCAATATCAGAACATATGTTCCAGGAGCACATTAATGTATTAGAAACATAAACAGTCTCTTAGTGTGCAAATCATGCCGTTCTTCTTTATAGAGTGCAGTGTAGGATTATAATGGCTTATCTATGATTTAACAGGCAGCGCCTCCTTGTAATATTATCATACGTGATGGTCAGAACCCTATGTAGAAGCAGCAGCCAGGTATATAGTATAAGCACATTGGTGAAAATAGATAATAGAAACAAGTATTCGTTTTTGCACACAAGGTTGTAATCCTAGCGCAGATTATTGGTTGTTATAGATGAAAGATTTACTTACCCAATCCTTCACTTTTCCCCGATGCTAGACCGGTCCCCACAGTATCTTCTTCCCCACTCTAGAGTGATCCAGGACAGTCTTATTTTTCAGTTCGGGTGCCCAGGCACTCTGGGGTGCTTGGAGGTATTTTCAGGGGTGCCTTGGCAAAATGTCTAAAAATTGCCCCAAATTTGTATACAAGCCAGTGGGTGGAACAAGCCGGCCTTTTAGTTACACAAGCCAGAAGTTTTCATTGTGCACCATAATGACCTTCTAGTCACCATCATCCTGACGACAACCAATTACATCATCAGTTGATAAGGAAGATGTCAGTTGCCTGCAGAGCATCCTAGTTTGACCCTCCCCCGCCTCTCTCCATCAGTGCTGGGGTCACATTAGCTCAGTGATGGAGAAAAACTGAGGGAGAAGAGAAACACTGGAATACTAGTCAGTACCAGTGTGCAGAAGTGTATTTGCTTTGGAAGAATAAATCGCCTCTGATGTTGGGGGTCCTACATGTGTGGATGCCACTTGCATTATGTAAAACTATTAAAATAGTTTTTCACATTTTAGAATTTGGTGCCTCGGGACTGTCCATAATTTTAAAGGGTATCTTGGGACTGTCCATAATTTTAAAGGGTGTCTCGGGACTGTCCATAATTTTAAAGGGTGCGTCGGGACTGTCCATAATTGTAAAGGGTGCGTCGGGACTGTCCATAATTGTAAAGGGTGCGTCGGGACTGTCCATAATTGTAAAGGGTGCGTCGGGACTGTCCATAATTGTAAAGGGTGCGTCGGGGACTGTCCATAATTGTAAAGGGTGCGTCGGGACTGTCCATAATTGTAAAGGGTGCGTCGGGACTGTTCATAATTTAAAGGGTGTCTTGGGACTGTTCATAATTTTAAAGGGTGTCTTGGGACTGTCCATAATTTTAAAGGGTGTCTCGGGACTGTTCATAATTTTAAAGGGTGTCTCGGGACTGTTCATAATTTTAAAGGGTGTCTCGGGACTGTCCATAATTTTAAAGGGTGTCTTGGGACTGTTCATAATTTTAGAAGGTGCCTTGACTGAATAAAGGTTGAGAAACACAGGTCTAGGATCCTGAGGTTCAGATAAGTACTGAGGGAGAAGAGAAACACTGGAATACTAGTCAGTACCAGTGTGCAGAAGTGTATTTGCTTTGGAAGAATAAATCGCCTCTGATGTTGGGGGTCCTACATGTGTGGATGCCACTTGCATTATGTAAAACTATTAAAATAGTTTTTCACATTTTAGAATTTGGTGCCTCGGGACTGTCCATAATTTTAAAGGGTATCTTGGGACTGTCCATAATTTTAAAGGGTGTCTCGGGACTGTCCATAATTTTAAAGGGTGCGTCGGGACTGTCCATAATTGTAAAGGGTGCGTCGGGACTGTCCATAATTGTAAAGGGTGCGTCGGGACTGTCCATAATTGTAAAGGGTGCCTCGGGACTGTTCATAATTGTAAAGGGTGCGTCGGGACTGTTCATAATTTTAAAGGGTGTCGTTGGGACTGTCCATAATTTTAAAGGGTGTCTCGGGACTGTTCATAATTTTAAAGGGTGTCTCGGGACTGTTCATAATTTTAAAGGGTGTCTCGGGACTGTCCATAATTTTAAAGGGTGTCTTGGGACTGTCATAATTTTAGAAGGTGCCTTGACTGAATAAAGGTTGAGAAACACAGGTCTAGGATCCTGAGGTTCAGATAAGTAAAAGTGTTTTTCCTCACCTTCAGACGAAATGAGCACAGCCCCACTGCAACGGCAAATTTAAAATGTTCCCCAAATGCATGGCAATGGATTTATGGTGGGGTCTCTTCAATTATTCCCTCATAGTGTACCCCATGCTAGAGGAATATCTGCTATGAACCATTGGTAGGGCTTTCTATAGGCTGCACCACTGAAGTGACCAGTACAATTTAAAAAACAAAAACACACAAAAGAAACAGTATGGTTATGGTAGGTGTTTGTATAAGTATGTGGCACCTTTTATAAAAGCAAGTATGAACTTATTTGTCTGCTCCCCTATTTTATTAATTTTTATTTTTTTTATTTTTTCCCCTGCAGGAAGCGTACTTCCGGTACATGGCTGAGAACCCAACTGCTGGGCTTATCCCTGAGGAAGAGGAGGACAACCTTGAGTATGACAGTGATGGGAACCCCATCGCCAGCACTGCTAAACGTGTCATTGATCCTCTTCCCCCGATAGATCATTCTGAGGTAAGAAGGGGATACCCATGGCGCTTCCTGTTCAGAGTCCGTACCTTTGGAGTTGTTGACCTGTGGATGTCGGCCTTGTCTTTGCAGATAGAGTATCCACCTTTTGAGAAGAACTTCTATGAAGAACATGAGGAGATCACGGCCCTGACTCCCCAACAAGTTGTAGAGCTGAGGCACAAGCTGAACTTGCGGGTGAGAATAATTGATGTGGAGAATGTGTGTTTATTATGGAACCGGTAAGCTTGATGGTATAAACACTTCCTCTTGATGAATTTAGGTTTCAGGAGCTGCTCCGCCACGTTCACTCAGCAGCTTTGCTCACTTTGGATTTGATGAACAGCTTATGCATCAGATCAGGAAGTCTGAATACACCCAGCCAACACCCATCCAGTGCCAGGTGAGCCTAGCACAACATTTCCTATAAAATGTATTTTTTTTTTTTTTTTAACTGAGATTTTGCTAATACAAACAGATGAGAGCAATTAGTAAGCCAGCAGGCAATGCAAAAACTTAACTTTATTGTTCGTCATTTCAGTCAACAGGTAGGATAGATAACGGGTAGAATTGTGTTACTCTTGTGAAAAGACTTTTAGTGACGTACTGTATACCATGGGATGGCTTTTGTTGCTGTCTGCATCCCTGTCTGGGAGATCCACCCTCTCTGTTCAATCTGCTGTCACCAGGGAGAAAGTGAGAAATCCAGATCTTTGCCCTTGTCACTAAAACAGGAAACGAGGAAATCTTCCAATGACAGTGAGATTTCCTCTCACTTTGTAGAGACTTTCTCACGTTTTGTCTCTGGGACAGGAAGTGAGGGGAAATCTCCACAACAGAGAGAGAGCATTAAGAACCCTTCCTGACGTTTCCCATTGTAACTAAACTAGAAATTAAAGTTTTTCTTTTTGCTTGCTAAGCTTATACAGCATTCTATCTAGTGAAGTGCAATTGGAGCTTAGAGGGAAATATAGGGGGAAAAAAAAACATAAAGAGATTGATGGGCCCTTTTTCTCACTGTCTTATGTAGTCATGTTTGGGTGATCAAGATCATTCACAAGTCCCACACTTTGTTAGATTTTGCCAATCAGATGTACAGAGCTCTACATTGTGCCATTGTTTTCAGGCTGGATTCTGGGCAAGATCTTTCCCAGTTTTGAGGTAAACCTGCTTCAACATCTGCACTGTAACTACAATAATTCAGCATGGAGCCATCATAGGCTGTGATGGATTTTAAGAAGGCTTCTTTTTGATTCTGTTCTTTTATGCCATTGAAAGGGAGCCCTGACTGGAAGGTATGTTTAGCACACTATGCTGCTATACCCATCTGGGAAAGCATATTGTGCTTTTTGGTAAAGGTGAACTTGGATGACATCATGATCTCCACCTCAGCCAATCAGAGGAAGCCTTGTATTCATTAAGAAAATACAAAGGATCCATTTTGGAAATGGAAGGGGACTGGGAGTCCCTGCACTGCTGCTGTAGCACAGCGCTGTATACTGTGTGTAGCTTATGCTACACTCAGTATATACAGTGCTGACAGCACTTCTTAGTAAAGGACATAGCTCATATGGGCCAGCTTGTCCCAAACAAACTATTTAAAGTGAAAACAAAGCTGGGAGTTGTGTGTTTTTTTGTTTTTTTTTTATCTTTTTTTTTTTTTAAGTTTCAATATCCACAAAAACAAAAGTAGAAAGGAGTAAGCGATATGTAGCAAAGTTTAGAGGGGTGCATAATAAAACACACAAGCACCCAATGAAGCAGTATGCACACACTACAGATCAAGATCAGGAGACTTAAGGCATATCCAATTAATTCCACATTGTAATAAATCATAAAAACACTGTGTCTATAGGTATATGGGTGTGCAGGGGGGCCCCTAGGCTGCCTGTGAGCACACAGAGAGGGTACGAGCCATAAACCTACTGCATAAAGCTGGCGTTCTGCTTTAAGTCACTTAGAGAGGTATTCTTAGGAATTCAGCCTGTTCTATAGAAACTGGTGACATCACTGCAAATGTTGTCCTGTACAAATAGATGGCCACGTCTCGTATGCCCACTGCTGTTCTTTGGTACCACAGCTGCGTTCCTGTGTGCATATTTCTTTATTTTTTTTCCTTCTGTAGGGTGTTCCAGTGGCACTTAGCGGACGTGACATGATTGGCATTGCCAAAACTGGAAGTGGTAAGACGGCTGCGTTCATCTGGCCGATGCTGGTACACATTATGGACCAGAAGGAGCTCCAGACAGGAGATGGCCCCATTGCAGTCATTGTGTGTCCCACACGTGAGCTGTGCCAGCAGGTACTGCAGATGTAGTAGGCTTCATATTTGGTGAATCATTTTGTCTGTTAACATGGACTTTTTTTTTCTTTTGTGTATACAGTATTACCCCTAGAATGGACATTTTATTACAATTTCCCATCCGCACTGGCAATTTGTCTCCTTAAAGGTTAAACCACTGATACTTCTATTTCACTCTCCCTTCTAGCTCTGAGCTCACCACCAGTTTCTCTAAGAAGCTGGTGATTGTTTCAGGTAGCCAGCAGTAACAGAGTTCTGAAATTTTTGTGCATTATGACACAATTTGAGCTTTTGTATGTGGTTTGTGTATTCTGTTTTTTTTTTTCTTCAATATTTTCAAAGGAAGTACAGAGCTCTAATACAGCACATATAACAATGAGTATACTATAAACACATATGAAAGTGCAATGCATTGCAAAAAAGAATAACATAGTTTCCATTTAGTACAACATTGTGCAAGACTGAACTTGAAAGGTTACAATATGAGGTATAGCAAATGTGGTCATGTTTCCTTGTCACTTTTCTCAAATTGTTACTAAAGAAGAAGAGTAAGGGAATGGCATAGCAATATAGCAGTCCTAATCGTACCCATGTTCCATAGAGTTAGCAGTGATAGGGTAAGTGGTGTATTCTGTTTTTACAAATTAAGAGTAAAGCGAGCGCTCAAAAAATCAGCAGCTGAAACACTCCAAGGAATCACTGGACCTCATAACAGAAACATTAAAATATATAGTGCAGCGCTGTAATGTAATTAAATAGATAAAAGTAGTTCATAAAGTCCTTTCACAATAAAATAATCAAACATGTGCAGGCCTCCTCCTCATTAGGTGACTGGAATCAAACAGAAAAAATGCGCACTCACCGACCGCACATTTTATATGCGCCAGGCATGCAGATCCAGAGAACACACAGATCATCCCTCTTAAACACTGACATCAGCCTTGGGTGTAGTAGTATACCTCCAGGTCCAGAGAGCCCTCTTGCCCCAAATGATAGGTAGACAGGGGTCCCCCTCCTGGTTCCAGGTACCCCGGAAGTGGTAGATGTAGATCAAAGTCCGTGTGTGTGTGTTACACCGGAGTCCTCCCCGCACTACTACACACAGCATGTGACTGAGCACCGTACCTGTCACTTCTGTTTTTACAGTCTGTATTTACAATGCATGTATTGAATTGGTAAATATTCATTTATTAGATCTTTCCAAGACAGCTCCTGCTCACTGTTTATGATCAGGAGCTGGTGGGACAGGTCCCCAATCATGTGATCACCGTAGTGGTCAATCAGTGATCACATGGCTAGAAATTCCTTGTAACGCCTTGTGCCAGCTTAAAAGGGGTTAAAGAGAGCCTAAACCGGCCTATACCTGCAGTGTTTAAGTTCCTCATTTGTTAGTCTTCAAATCAATACCTATGTTCCTGTGGAGCCCCTTGGATCTTAAACCCATGCTGTACTTTGTTCTTTCAGATGTCAGTGGGCAATAAAGGCTTTGACCTTGACATTTAAATGAATAATGACATTTTCGAAAATTTGGGGGAGGGGGGCTAATGTGTGTTTTTTTTTTTTTTTTTTTTTTTAAATATTGTCTGTTTCAGATTCACAGTGAATGTAAGCGTTTTGGAAAGGCCTATAACCTGCGCTCTGTGGCTGTGTATGGCGGTGGCAGCATGTGGGAACAGGCCAAGGCTCTGCAGGAAGGAGCAGAGATTGTGGTCTGCACTCCGGTGAGTCCCAGCGAGGGTTGATGAAGCTTTACACTGATTGTAGAAAACATAAACTGTATGATCATTGACATTACAGGCTTAGTATTGCAGTAGTGACCATCCTGTACAGCCTGAGCCTTTATATACACAATATATGTAAAACTTGGGCGGAGATAATTTGAGAATTTTCTTTTATAAAAAAAAAAATAAACTTTGTGATTCCCTTATCGTACAATATGACGTGCATCAGAAGGACAGCTGTGTTTCTATGGTGAAACGTTCTGTCTCCCCTTACTGTTCTTCATATCAGTAAGTAGATACATGTCTTTTGTTTAGGGCCGTCTTATCGACCATGTGAAGAAAAAAGCCACCAACCTGCAACGTGTCACTTACCTTGTGTTTGATGAAGCGGATCGAATGTTTGACATGGGTTTTGGTAAGATTACTAGTCTATGGTAACTGCGTTTTTTTTTTCTAACTGAACAAAGTACATTTAAAGGCAGTTTTATTTGTTTTATTTGCATGGAGTAGGAAAGGGTTAACCTCCAACCATTTTTTTTTTTTCTTTCTTTAGTGTCCTGTTGTAAAACATACACATTTTTGTTTCAGAATACCAGGTCCGATCCATTGCCAACCATGTAAGACCAGACAGACAAAGTAAGTACCACGCAGCCAGCCGTGCTCAACCAAAGAGCATATTGGACATGTTAAGCAATTTTTCTACAGTTTGTACTTTTTATTTGAGGAATGGTTCAGTGTACATTACAGTCATTCATGAATTTGAGACATCAGTTCAGAATTTTTTCCGGATGCAAGGCTGGGTAAACAGCAGATGTAGCACAGTCTATGCTTGATCGGCTGGATAAGAACACAAGGGAGATATTAGGGTTGCAATAAACTCCTAAGGTTTCTATAATGTGTACTTGTCACCTGCCAAACGCTATCACATAGGGGGCTCGATAACCACCTTGCAGTAGCAAAAAATATGAAAATGCAAAAAAAAAAATGAAAAGCACCCCATCCCTCCATGTACACAAACGCAAGCACACGTGTATGTTAACAACAAATGCGCGACTCTGAATTGATGAGCTGTAAAGGCATTTAAAGCATCACCAGAGAGGGTTGTGCTGTAGGGCAGAGTAGTGTATGTCAGAATTGGATGTACAGAAATACAAATGTAACAAGTAAAAGAGCTCCCCGTGTATGTATTTCATGGGTATATCAAGCTGTTTGCCTGGAGATTAACTGTTGTTTTTGTTTTTTTTTTAAATCGGATCTTTGTTATTTATTGAAGCTTGGATCCATGTATACAAATAATCATACAACCGCAATCTCCAGCAGTATTGCGTTGGTATCAACAATTTACAGCTTTACTATGTAAAAGGGGTACATAGTCATGTATACCGAAGATATAAACATAGATTCCAAACCTCAACATTTTCCACATCCTCTTTTTTTTTTTTTTTTACAAAAAAAAACTTCAAGACAAACTGGGAGAAAACAAAAAAAAAAAAAAATAGTACGAAATATACAACCAAAGTAATTAACAAAAAACAGCCTTCCACTGAACTGAACTCTGAGAGTCAAACCCCACAGCTCATCCACGCGCAATATAGTAGATAGGAATTCTAATTCAACATCTGCCAGAAGCAAATTTTTACTGTATGTATACATCTATATTCCCAATTCCTATTCAAGGGTTGATGGGACAATAGTTATCTTTTGAAGAGATTCCACCACTTAACAGCCTGTCCTTAACAAATCGTGTTGGTGCTAATCCTGGTGTACCCAACCAGGCATCCCAGATGTTCGTAAATTTCCGGGCACATCCTCTATGTTGATCAACTAGTTTTTCTCTGATTAGATTGCAAACAGCTTTAATCCATTGAATATGGGAAGGGAGGTGTGGGGGAGAACCATTACTGAGCTATAATATTCGGAGCAATAAACAGCACTCTGGATGGCTATATAGACATGCGGAGTGTACAGTACCTCATCCAGAACTCCCAATAGACAAAGCTTGGGATCTAATGGTACATTAAGACTCCAGATCTTATTGATCATTGTTATTATATGGGACCAATTTGGGACATTTCCATAGCATATGGATAAGCGTGCCATTATGAATTTCACACCTAGGACAGAGAGGAGAATCCCTCCTACTCCAAGCGAACAGCCCCTGAGGAGTGCAGTAAGTATGGTGGATTATAAAAAGCTGGGTAAGCTTCTGAGCTGGAGACAGAGACTTTAATTACATGTTCTAATATGGTGGATCGTTCCTCATCTGAAATAGTATCTAAATCAGTCGACCATTGTGTCCTACAACTGAGGGACATTGCCTTAGAAATTCTGAGCATAATGGATTGATCGAAGATATTTGACCCTTTCTTGTGGTCAAAGATATAGTTTGATGAAGTATTACCGGTTCAGTAAATGACCATGAAGAGGTTTTAGATTGTGCAGAAATAGCATCACTAAGCTGTAGGTACTGGAGAAAAATTGTTTAGGCAAGTCATATTCAAACTGAGATCAGCTTTAAAGATGCAACTGTAGCAGTAAGTCATGCTTTAGTTCTATTAATAATAATGGATTAATAGAATCCGATGTTACAAAGCAATTGGGAAGCATGATCACTAAATAACAGCATCTTTGCTCCTTGCTGTATTCTCATGCAGAACATTAGCAGCACTAGACTAAGCTGGGCCACACACATTAAATTTTAATTGTTGGATCTTCCGTAGGTTTTCCAGCAACTATGTAGTGCAGAGGTCTGCCTTGTTGGATATATGTTGAGTGAATTGTTTTGGAGTATCCTTACTCCGCATAGTTCATGTAAAGGAGATTATGCACTCGTCTTGTAATAAGTGCAAATGTATTAAAAAAATATTAGACCGAGGATGTATTGTGAACATGGTGACCAACCATTGATTGCTGTCTGGGGATCACTGATCAAATGCAAAGCTTGCCGTTCTAATCTCTTGCCGTTTCCTTGTCATAGCTCTCCTATTCAGTGCTACGTTCCGGAAAAAGATTGAAAAATTAGCCAGAGATATTCTGATTGATCCCATTCGCATTGTTCAGGGAGATATCGGAGAGGTGAGTTTGGTGTCTTCTCTTCTGTCAGTTCATTGTGGTAAATGTACACGAACAGTTCCTTTTTTTTAAGCTTTCATAAACAAAGCACAATATAACCATTTATGTTCTTGCATCAGGCCAATGAAGACATCACTCAGGTGGTTGAGATTCTGACATCCGGCCCAGACAAGTGGAGCTGGATGACCCGCAGACTGGTAGAGTTCACATCTACAGGAAGCGTCCTTGTTTTTGTCACCAAGAAAGCCAACGCTGACGAGCTGGCCTCCAACCTACGCTTGGAGGACCATTCTTTGGGCCTTCTTCATGGAGATATGGACCAGAGTGAGAGGAACAAAGTCATCACAGAGTTCAAAAAGAAGGTCATCCCCATTCTGGTAGCCACAGATGTTGCTGGTGAGGACCATTTGATAGACTGCTGAACATACCAACAGTTCATATTTGACAAACTTCATGGATAACCCGTGAAGAAGTCCATATAGCCCAAGAGCAAAAGAAATGTGAATTATTTTTCAGTAGCTTTAGCAGTTTATGAAGAGAAAGGAAAATCCTATATTTACTAGGGACTACTAAGTGTAGAAAACACCCCTATAATGCAGGTAATAGCTAAGATGAGCTTGACCCTTGGCTAAGCCTAACCTGAGCTGCTTTGTTAAAGCTCCTGTCGCTTTACTCATTTAAGGCAAACTAAGAGTTTGATGTCTCCCTCCTCCTCCTAGCTTTTTTTGCTAGCTGGCCTTATGAAATTCCTGGTACCCCCAGGTATAGGGGGAGCACGTGCCTCCCTTCTTTCCTTCACTAACTGTAGTGCTTGATGGCTCCGCAGCCAATCACTGGGCCTATGCACCATCACCTGAGGATGGGGGAGCTTTTGCATTTCTACTCATCACTTTGGCTATTAAAATTAGCAAATGAAGAAGGGAAAGGTAAATAAATATCAGCATTAGAGGAGGTGGACAACCAATGGAACCTTTGACGGTTACTCCTGCCACCACTAGTTTCTAAAGTTCTTCTGTGAAATATAGCTTAACCCCTGCTACCCCTCCCCTGAACATAACCTGCCCAGTCTAGTTTTAATCTTAACTATGAGATTAACCCTAACCTAGGTTGCTATGAGGGTAAATGGTTGTGGAACGTGCCAAAAACAGACAACTAGTATAGTGAATACTTAAAAAGTCCATAAAGACATGTTGGTTATCAAGCTACCAGATTGTCAAACTGCCTTTCCTGTTGATAGCCCGAGGCTTGGACATTCCATCAATCAAGACCGTGATCAACTATGACGTGGCGCGAGATATTGACACGCACACTCACCGTATTGGTCGCACAGGCAGAGCGGGAGAGAAAGGTGTGGCATATACTCTGTTGACGCCAAAAGACAGCAATTTTGCTGGGGACTTAGTGAGGAATCTGGAAGGGGCAAACCAGTATGTGTCAAAGGAGCTTCTGGAGCTGGCCATGCAGGTAATTCACATTAACCATGTATGAGGGACTTCAGAATGATTATTCAGAACACCTGCTAAAACCATTTCACCAAATATTCTTGTCATAGCAATAACAGCAGATACACTAGTTGCTCAAAAACTAGTGGACACCTGACCATCACACCTAGTCCTTTCTACAGATCATGCATCTTTTTAAAATTTTCCTTTTATCCTCTGTATTTGCTGACATTGTTCGTTCTTATTTTGTTACACAGAATGCTTGGTTTCGCAAGTCCCGCTTTAAGGCTGGAAAAGGCAAGAAACTAAACGTTGGTGGAGGTGGCCTGGGCTATAGAGAGCGCCCAGGACTTGGAGCAGACAGTTCTGTAAGCAAAAACTGATTTTCATACTTTACCCATCAGTAGACCTCCTCATGACTAAGAGCGGTCAGCAGATGACCACTGTAGAGCTAATTAAACTTCTATAGGTCATATAACCCCTCTCTTTTTCTGAGGCTCCATAGGTTCTGCTGCAGGCCATTGGCTATATCTTTGTAGTAAATTTCTCAAACCGTTTGTAGGAACGCAGCATGACTGGGAGTGTGATGAGCAACTATGAAGCCTTCAAACCCACGGGTGGGGCAATGGGAGACCGATTGGCCGCCATGAAAGCTGCTTTTCAGGTAAGCGATGGAAATGTTTCACTCTGCAATGTAAATTTTCACAACCATTTCTGAATTATTAATGTCTGCTCTTCCCTATCTTATTCCCAGTCTCAGTACAAAAATCACTTTGTTGCTGCTAGTTTAAGCACACAGAAATCAGGGACATCTACAGTCAACTCTGGTGCATGGACAAGTGCTGGTAGTTTAAGTTCCGTACCCAGCACCCCATCACACAGTTTAGTACTTGGAGAGGAGTCCGCTCCACCACCTCCTAGATCCATTCCGGGCTTTACCAGCAGTGGAACACTAAGCAGCATTCCCGGTACTTATGCCCCTGTGAGTGCTCCCAGTTACCCTGCCTCCAGCCCATACAGTGCCAAAGACAGCAGCAGTGGCAGCAGAGAGGGAAGCGCGGGCCGAGACAGAGATAGGTACAGCGATGGAAAAGGGAGACACGGGGATGGACATCGCCATAGCGACAGAGACAGCCACCGCTATGGGGATGGGCACCGGCATTCCAGCAGTGGAAGACACGGGGATGGCCGTAATGGAGATGGCAGAAGAGATAGCGACAGTCGAAGGGAGAGCTCACGAGATAGCGAAGGTCGGAGGGACAGCTCCCGTGACAGGGACGACAGCCGAAGAGACAGCCATGGAGAAAGCCGAAGAGAAAGTACTCACGAAAGCAGGAGAGAGAGCTCCCGAGACAGCGACAGTCGCAGGGAATCGAGGGATGACGGTGAAAGTCGAAGAGAATCAAAAAGCGAAACTTTTGCAGTTCCAGATCCTCCAAAGCGGAAAAAGAGCAGATGGGACAGTTAACTTCCCAGAAAATGTAGGGAAAGGATACAGCATCTGTCACAAATGCAGCTTGCTTCTGGGGAGGCTGGGTGAAATCTAAGATGGAAGGTTGGTGAGATTTATATACTGTCATGGATTTACAACACTTTGTGAAATCTTTAAGAAAAGGTTTTACCATAATAACACAATCTCCAGAGTATTTTCGGTGTCCGTACGCTACTGTGTAGAGCAGCTACTCCCACATTGTACTCCTCACTCTGACATACGCAAGACAAGAGCCCTTCCATCCAGAAACCCATCATCTCTGATCTGTGTGTGTTTAGGATATCGTCTCTATATGGAGCGCAGTTTTCTGGTTTTATTATTCCGTATGTTTGTTTTTGTTTTTTTTTTTTGTGTATCGAGTTGTTCTCATTTCACAAACAGTGATTAAAAAGAACTTTTGAGTTTTGTTTTCATTGGTGCTTGTTTTCCCTTATGACTTGATAAAGACTGAGCGGATGGTAAGAATGAAGACAGATCCTGCCATGCCCAGAGAAATGTCAGGCAAGTTAGTTTGGTACCGTGTATATGGTTCACCAGAATGGGGTTGATGTGATTTTTTTTTTTTTTTTTTTTTTCTTTTTTCAACAAAGCTGACATTTTTCTGAAAGAAGTATTTGATTACTAAGCTCATTTGGTAAAGCTCAAACTATTCTCACAGTACTGTTAGTTCCCATAATGCCATATGATATCCTTTGATGTGTGGTATCTTCTTCCATGGCAGTGGAGAGTCCTTGATGAAACAGAGAAGGGACACAGTAGTATAAACTGTTAACGCCAGGCCAGGGTATGGGTGGTGTTTCCGATGAGAGAGATATTCCCTCATGTCCATTTAAAATCTAGTATAGGTTTTACCCCCAATCTATTAAAAACAAAAAAAAAGCTTGTTTCTTTAAAGTGATTCTAAAGGCTTAATTAAAAAAAAGAAAAAAAACACGCCTATACTTTCCTGCTGTGTGCAGTGGTTTTGCACAGAGCAGCCCAGATCCTCCTCTTTTCGGGTCCCCCGCCAGTGCTCTTGGCCCCTCTCTCCTATCAGAGCCCTCACAGCAAGCCGCTTGCTATGGGTGAACCTCAGCATGCACACTCCCCAGCTCTTGCTCCATGTGTCCATTCACACACGGAGCCATGGTTCTCTCCTCTCCCTCCCTCACTGCCTGTGATTGACAGCAGCTGGAGCCAATGACTCCCGCTGTTGTCTCGGCCAATGAGGAGAGGAAGTCCCAGGAAACACAAAACACCAAATATAATGTATCTCTCATCTTTTTCAACTATGGTTGTCCTCAAACTTAAAAGTAAAGCGTCAATTGTCACTGCTATGAAAACAAGTCATACCATGTGAACCGAATCACCCGCATTTATAAAAACAGGGCTGTCACCAAGAGCAACCAGACTTTGTGCCTTCATTATTTTGCTAATCCTGGCTAAGACTAGGTTCACACCTATACAGGTTGCATTTGACCCGTTTCTGCATTGCGTTTTTGATGCTTTTTGTTTTGTTTTTTTAATTTGTTGCTAGGCAAATTTTAAACCTCATAAAAAAACGCAGCAAAAACACAATACGTACTTTTCTGCAGCATTTCCCTTAAAGTCTAAAGAACCAAAAATGCAACTTTTTGCGTTCAAAAAAGTCCCCGACCCTTTCCAAAAAAAGTCACCAGGTGAAAACGCAGAGATGTGAACGTGTCCCATAGGAAATCATATTAAATGAACTGTACTGCATTTCTGCAGAATGCTGCAGAAACTGCTTAGGTGTGAACCTAGGGTAAAGTTAAAGGACAACGTAAAGTATTGGTGTCCATGCCCACTTCTACAGGAGTTTAAAAAAAAAAAATGTTCTCCTGCCTGTAGAAGCAGCTCAATATAATCCTATGTGTTCATGCACATTAGCTTGTTTTTAGAGGCATATTTCAAGAGGAAAGATAAGAGGCAGAAAAAAAAACATCACAAGTGCGTTTTTTTAGAAGAAGAATTTTTACGCAGGAAAAACAATAGATGTGCATAAACACGGTGTTTAGGAGCGTTCTGTGTTTTCAAGTGTACATTGACAAATAAGCAGTGTGGAATTTTTTGGAAAACACTTATAAAAGAAAATGCCTGTAAACGACTAAATTCTTGTCCAATGGGATCCACTATGAGCATTTTATGCTGCTCTTCTCCCAGTGGTTCTGGCATTTTCTTCTGCTGCTAGTGTACATGGATCCCAAGAATTCAGGTGAGTCAACCTCCTTCCATAGCACCTACATAGACATCAGCCATAGGCATACCTTGCCTGGGCTGCAGCTTTCATGTGACTTCTCACAGATGGTTAATCGGTCAACGTGCTAGTAAGGGGGAGCTTGCAGTATTTTGGGTAGTGGGAAGGAAAAAATTGCATTTGGTAGGAAGAATAAAGTGAATGTCCGTCAATGTGTAGAAAAATTGCCAATCTAGAGTGAGCAGGGGCAGGAAGAATGCACTGAGACAGCAGTGTGTATACAAATAAATGACAGCATTGGTGGCCATGAGGTGGAGGAATGCACCCAAGTCAGTGTGTATATCAAATATAACAGCATTGGCGGCCATAAGGGACTATCAGTAACTTTAGAAGTCTGCATGAGTAAGTGTCTAAGAAACCAATATACATTAGCAATCACTATTCAGAAAAGCTTTTTTTTTTGTTTGTTTTTTTCCTTACATGTAGTCATTTAACTTTAGTCAGTGATGTCCTCAGCCTGCTGCAGGAAGACGCATTTCCTCAGTCTCTTCTTTCCCTGATTAGGCTCCATGTACACGGGACACTTCTGAACGATGGAAACTGATTGCTGGAAAAAAGTAGGTTAAAAACCATCTGTTTAGCCACGTTTGCATACCACGTTTGTGTGCATTTGCGTTTAGAAGTGTTTTTTTAAAGATAACCTCAGGAGTCCTTCCAAAATGCCCAGAATGCACTGAAAAACAGTAAAAAATTAACTATTTCAGACATTTTGAGAGAAATACAGAGAGCAGAAGCAGAGAGAGTAGTATGTGTTGAGATGACCTGTCTTTTCTGGTTGTATTCACTATGGATCCCATCATGAGTATAATGCGGCACATTCTATAATTTTTTCCTTCACGCGAAACCTGGAACTGACTGCGCTGGTGTACCGGGCCCATTTGAATACATGCAAAACACTTTGCGTGCATTTCTGATGATGAAAAAAGGCTCTGGACAGCATCTGGTTATGGAACAGTTAAAAAAAAAAAACGCTTCTACACGCAAACTCTTATAAACGCAGTTAGCCGCGTTTACAGGCGTTTGAATCGCTGATAAAATCTACTCCTGAATGCAAGTTTGGTGCGTCCACAAAAACGCAACTGCCTGTAAATAACGATCTGTACATGGACACATAGGAAAACATTAGGGAGAGCTCAGGGGCTGCTGAAAATAAAAACGCTGAACAGCTCCTGAACGTCAGTTTATCAGCTGCAGTGTACATGAGCCCTTAGACTGCAACATTGTAACTTTGTGGCAAGTGAAAGATGAGGCTACAGCAGGGGCTGATCTGTGTCAGACATTTGTTAAAACAGCCGAGCATGGTCCACCCCACCAGGATTTACATGAATAAATGACAGTTAACTCCGGGAGAGACCAGCAGATGAAGGCATTGCCAGGGGGTGCACTGTGATCTGTATGAGATGTAATACTGTAGTATAAAACCATTTTTTCCGATACATTCACTATCCTGGTAAATCCAGCCCTGATGGTGTGCTCGGTGCAGTACCCCACACCACACATGTCACATTCCTGATGAGCTGTAAATGTATATTTGGTAGGGATCATACGTCAGTATTTTGTGATACTATCTTTGTTTTGATCTCTCTTTCACAAGCGTCTTTCTCCATTCGCCTGTATCTCTGTACCTTTCCCCACATCCGCCTCCTCTTCACCCCCCCCCCCTAAGTCTCACTTCCTCTTTACACGCGGTCCCACGCTGGGCACGCAGACAGGGTGCAGGCATCTGAACCCTTGTCTTACCGTGTACGCAGCGGAAGTGATACTACGGTCCTAATATAGAACTTTCAGTGTTGTGACGGAGAGAAAACATAAATGTTTCTCAAAAACCAGGTCCTATGTCCGCACTGAATATGCAGTGGGAGACAAAATCAATGAAGCTCATCCCTCAATATCTGTACATTTGTTAGCACATCTAACAGACCCCATCAAGCCTCTTGGTAATATTGTGTCTATGACATTGCTTCTTACTTAAAGGGTTACTCCACTTTCATGAAAAAGTAAAGCAAATTAAAAAAAAATGCAATTTCTACATAGGCCGTGTTGCCATTTAATGTCGTTAAAATTTCTTTCCTTTTCAATCTACAGCCGCTGTAATTTTCTGTAAAATTCAATACAACCTGGCAACCTATGGAGGCGCGTTGTACACCAACCCAGAAATGTCATTTCCTGCTTGTGTGGCTCACTGATATTCCCAGAAGTCTGCACTAGGCTACAAGTCAGATTTTAGGCATCCTCTGCAATAGGAATTTCAGCTTTGGTGAGAAACTCCGCAAGGGTTAAACTTCTAAAGAGATGCAGCTTTACTCATTAGAAGCTGAGTGCACCAGGTGATTGAAATGAACCAGACCCTATCATTTAGGTTCAGTCAGCTAAGGACGTGGTTAAACAGATATTTCTTCAGAGCAAGAAAAGGTAGGAATCTGATACAAAGATTAAATCCTTGCAATATATATTGGTCCCAGAAGTGAGTGTTTTTTTTTTTTTTCAGCAAAAGTAAATTTATTGATTTAAAGCCTAAGCCCACCTTTTACAAAAAAAAAAATATTAAATGCTTATATATAAATTTGCAGAGGAAAAAAAAATGCATTATTTTTTTTTTTGTAAATCAGTCTGCAAAGCATTGCAACTGCAATCTGTGCATTGCAGGTGCAATGCCAGGCTCCTGCAGACTCTTCCTTCAGCTGTATGTCTGTAGGGAGGAATGACTTTTAATTGGACATTT